ACTCCCGTACGCGCAGGACTCGATCCCACTTCTGAATAAACTGTGGGGGAGGGGTGTTTATTGCTATCTCACAATCCACAGTTTTGTATTAATGAGTTTATTAATAAAAAGAGTATAATTCGGTAATGACCGGGTCCCAACGGGAACTCTACTTAAACTGACTCGCATTTCGGCATCCGCGAAGATCGCGCGACGGTGGCGTAGTGGGGTGAATGCCCCTTGCCCAATCAGGCCCAATCGTACGATAATGACAACCAATCCGCGTGGATTGAGGAGTCCGCGTTTTCCTCGGTACTTCTCGGAATTTTCCTGTAGCGACAAGCTTGTGCGTGAATCTTCTCGAACGGTCTTCTAGGATGCCGACCGAAATACATCTCAATAATAAAAATATGCCTACACATATGTGCTCGTTATCGATCTACTTTCAGCGTTTATTCCTGTCAACAATTATTCTGTTCAAAACGCGCTTGTTACCGGTACCGACACGGTCAGAATTCATGATAGTTTTTCTAACGATCAGCTGTTTACTTCGTGTCACACGATATATACATTCGCAACATTTTCTGTCTTTCCCGCGAAGTGAAGGTTACCTCTCGGTACCTCTGTACGTATATCGCTTAATTCTATTGTCAGTTAACTTCGAATAAAGCTCAGCAGCACATCTCATTGTATATCGCTCTAATTCTCTACTCTTGCCAACACCTTCTGACTCCTCGTGATTGTTCGTATATAATTCCGACATCACTAGCGGACCTGGTTTTTCGGTACCACTTTCCCTTCGTAATACTCAAAACACAGAGTATATTACAATTTCCACAATAATATTAATATTTTTAATATTTTAATACGTTTCCTAATAATTTATTTGATAATATATTTTTAAACAAATACGAAAAAATAATTATAAGTTTTATTTATACGTGAGCTGTTCGGTATAATAGCCATGCACTTTATTCGCTTTGCCATGGCAATTACTTGCGTATGAATGCGATATACGTATAGCTTATATAAATGTATAATAAGCTTTTGTGCAAAGAATTTTCGTGAGTTTGTGGGAAAGATGTAAACCATTCTCCATTTCTCACGCTTGCTCCAAAATATGTGATTATGTGAGATACGGCGCGTGTCTGTGATAGTGAGAAATTAGTGTCGTGAGTATGAGTAGTGTTATCAGCTCTGATCGTGATGGAAGGATTGCGTTTGGCATTTTCCAGCAAGGGTACAGTCAGAGTAACACAGTGAGTCATTTTATCCTTGTTAGGCAAACAACAAGGATGCAATAAATCACTGTGTTACCTGTTCTTTTGTTAGACCTGTTCTTTTTGGCTAAACTTTTACACCAGTTCATCTTTCTTCTTAATATTCATAAACATGTATAATTATATATGAAATATGTCCATACATGTGTTCATACATTCTTTTTTTTTTATAAAATTACTTTTTAGTGTAATAAAAATAATAATAGTAATGTGAAAACATTAAAAATAATTAAGGGAATAATTTTCGTATTGTTTGTTTTAGAAAAAAACAAGTTTGAAAAAAAGTTAAAAACATTACTCAGACATAATTATGCATAATTTTATATATAATTTTCGACCGCACTCACTAGCGTGGTGCCACTTCGTCGCGCGTTCGCGAGTATTGCTCTACCTCTCTTTAGTCGGTACCTTCGCGACAACAAAAAAAAGCTCAACGCCACAACGGCTTTCTCAAATTTTCCATGCTCTACATTTCACGTCAATAATTGGGCGCCAGGCACGAGAGAGCGTGCCACTCTTTCTTAAATCTTTTCGGTACGTTCTCACTCGAAAATATTGAGGTATAGAGACTCACGAATGCCGACGGCTATAATAACCGACTGCTCAGCCACGACAATGGCAGAGGGGGTGGTTCATGGTCGGGAACGGAGGATCTTTTGGAGAACGAGTAAGGCGAGAAAACAGTAAAGTAGGCAGAATTAATAACAGTAAGATAATAACAAATGTATTCTTTAAGTCGAATGTACAGTTTCCGACGTACAGGCAGATGGATTGATTCTGCGGCATGCAAACGCTTTGGTCTCCGCGATACGTTCTCGACACGCGGTATTAAGTAACCGTTTCTCTTCTCTGATGGACGAGCTCTCGATTCTAGCGTAATTCTACGCGACGCATGTATCGCGGTTACGGAGATCCATGGCGCAGTTACGGAAATCTTCGGAATGCATGAACATGCGAGAACATCTTCTGAAGTCTAGGATCTACGACGACGACGATAGTACGCGACACGAAACGGCGACGCAACAGTACGGTACTAAATTACGGCACAACAATACGGTACAGAACTATGACGCGAGGATACGATACAAAATGACCTGGCTGTGGCCATGGCGACGCAACAGTACGATACTAAATTACGGCACAACACTACGATACAGAATTATGACGCGACGATACGATACAAAATGACCTGGCTGTGGCCGCGGCGGGAAAAGCGGTGTGTGCGTGCAGCCGCGACGCAGTTACTCGCGAAAAACGGATACTTGCGATCCCTCCAATTCGGAAATCGGCGGCTTTACAATATGTTACGTCCGTCTCACCACAGAATCCTCTTGGTACTCGCTTTCCCTTCCTTGCAGTCCTGTGTTCTCTCATAATATGTTACCGTCGGCGTTACAATATGTCTGTCTCACCACAGAATCCTTTTGGTACTCGCTTTCCCTTCCTTGCAGTCCTGTGTTCTCTCGCACGTCTCGGTCGGCTCGTGTCCACAGCGCAAGTGTCGGGCCCGAGG